ATATGTTGTGGGGGAGGAGGAGCAGAGCAATTCCTCCCGGGAAAGAGGGGAAGTGAGCAGGGAGATGAAGCAGGGGAGAGGAAATGAAAGATTAAGTGCATAAAGGCCATAAAGCTCGGAAACGTCCAGGCCGGATGGATTCCCGGTTTATAGATAGGTTTATGTCCAAGGATGCCCAGCCAGGGCTGATAGCAGCAAGAGCAGCCACCCAGGGAGGCAGAGGGGACACTGGGCTGGAAGGGACCCCTCATGCCCCTGTGCTCTCTTGCCACCGCCCCCCCCCCCCCCCCCCCCCCCCCCGCCCCAACTCCTCCGGACTGGCCGACAGCCCAGCTGGAAGCAATTGTGGGAGCCTCCAGCCTGGAGAGCTGCATCCCACAAAGGGCCCTGGTAAATAGCAGCCCACACCCCAGACGGCCTGCGGCGCCCTCCCTCCTGCAGCCCCCTGCCCGCCCGGAAATTTAAAACAACTGCTCGACACAGTCTTAAATCCTCCGGGAAGGAGCTGGGGTTGGCAGGCGGGAAGCACGAAGCTGGCCAGGGCCTGCCTGGAATCCCTCTCTCCCATCTCCTGCTCTGAATGCCCCTGAAGAACCATCTCCCGCCGGCGCCCCGAAGTCCTGCCATGGGCTTCCCGGCCCGCAGGCTTCCTGCGTTGGCATTCGCCGTGGGTCACTACGCTGCAGCCGCCGAACTGCCGAGTAGACTATGCACCTCGGGAGCTCGGGGCAGTCTTGTCCCCTGCTCGTACCCAGCACTGGGTCTGCCACAGGCGGATGCATAGTGTACATAAGGCGGATGAATAATTGAAGCCACCATGTGACCTGAGCCGTCGCTCTGCTCTTTGGGCCTCAGTTTCCTCGTCTGTCAATTGGGCATGATAATTTGTACGGAGTCTACTTCCCAGAGCTGTGAGAGTTAAGTAAGAACCTTTGTGGAGGTATTTTATCAACTGATGAGTCACGGTGGTTCCATCCTTGTCCTCCCAGCCTCAGTTTGCTTGTCTGGAAATTGAGGCCTGAGTGCTAGCTAGCGTCTCTCCGGGACGTGATTTTCTCAAGTTATAGCCAGAGATGAGGATGCCCAGACTGTCCTAGGTTCCTTACACACCAGCTGGGTGGTAGGAGGAGGGTACGGGGTGTGGTGTCAGGCAAAAGAGCCCGGCCTAGGGTTCCAGCGCGGCCCCTGACTTGATGTATGATCTGCTCTGGGCTGCCAGGGAGTGGAATGGGAGTGGGGGACACAGGAAGCCTGGAGTGACCTCTAGCATTCAAGTTCTCTGGACACATGCAGAGGGCAGTGGGGAGCCACTGACAGGCTCTGAGCAGGAGAGCAGCGTGGTCAGGCTCATCTTTCAGAGCACTCACCCTGGCGGTGGTGTGGTTTATGGTAGAAGGGCGGGGAGTCTGGAGTCTGGGGACCTGGAAGGGGGCTATTGCCTTTGCCCAGGCACAGAAGACAGCGGCCTCCATGTCTTTCGTCAGGCTGCGCTCCAGCCTGGGCTGCCCTGCCTCTTCCCTTTTAAAGCTCACCCATCTTTAAGACACAGTTCAGGGACCACCTCCCCTGTAAGGTCTTCTCAGGTGGTCTCTGATGCCCGTAGTGAACTCCTCCTCTGCCATCCAGTTTCCTAGCCTGTGTACCTTCACCATGGGACCAGTTTGAGTTACTGTTGTGTGTGTGTGCGTGCACACACATGCCTGTGTGCCCTCTCCTGGGCTGTGAGCTCCTGAGGTCAGGGCGGGTACCCCACCCATCCCTGTATCATCTCCAGCACCCATCACCTGGCCAGGCCCAGAGGAGGTGCTCGGCACATGCATGCAGAGTACTGAGGATCCAGAGCAGCCTCCACTTTGAGTCCACCTGCAGGTAGGAGTCTGGGCTTCAGCCCTAGCTTAACTGCTAATAGCTGGGTGACCTTGGGCTAGTCACTTTTCCTCTCTGGACCAAGGTCCCTTTTGGCCACAAAGGAAGTATCGCTATTATTCATTCTCACATCAGGACTCTGAAAGGAGGCAGCATTCCTGGGCCCCTTCACCAGCACCTCCCCTCAGCATTTCCTTTCCTGTGCCTGGGATCACAAGGAGCTGTTACAACTGTGGGTCCCACCAGAACCGCAGGTCTCTGAGAGCCTCGTCCCTGGGTCCCCACAGAGCCCTGCACAGAGGTGCTCCACAGACCTGTCTGATGAGGCACCTATCCACTGCTTGGTCCCAGGAGAGGGAGCGTAGTAGGATCTCTGTCCACAGTGATGTGCGATCAAATGTGTGGCTGCGCAAGAGGCCAGGGGCACTCACTGCCCCAGCCCAGCCACAACCCTGCCTCGGTCCCCACCTCCTGCCCAGCCGTCCTCCTGGGGCTACTCCAGCCTCCCCTGTGGGGAAGGGGTGCTGCCAGCCCCTGAAGCAGATGGGTCTCTAGCCAGGACTACTCTGCCCCAGGCAAGCCCACTATATCTCAGCCAGAATCCCCCTCCCTCTGCCCAACCCCCCTGGGCTGGGACAGACCTCAGCCAGCAGGCCTCCCAGCTTTGATCAATACAGGGCAAGCAGCCAAGGCGGCTGCAGGCTCCATCCTCCCGGGAGGCCCCAGCTCAGCCGGGGTCACATGGGGGAGGGGCGGCAGCCTGGCTCAGGGGCTCTGGGGGGTGGGGCAGGGCAGGGGAGAGCAAGAAAGGCAGGGCCACTCACGGTCATTCATTCCTTCACCCACTCGTTCCTTCGCACACATTTGTTCAGCCCACAAATATTTAGTGAGCACCAGCTATGCACCCGGCAGTGCCATCAGCTCTTGGGACACAGTAGGGACAAGACAGGAGCTCTTGTGGAACCGAGGTTCTAGCAGAGGAGAGAGACAACAGACAAATGAACAAACAAATGTAAGAAGTAGTTTCAAAAGGTGATAAAGATAAAATAGGGTGGGGGGACAGAGAGATCAAGCAGCATTACACACAGTGGCCAGGGAGGACAACGTTTGGGCTGGAACTCGGATGAGGAGGAGAAGCCCACCAGGCCAGCTCAGAGCAAACGAGGAGGAGATGCCCACCAGCCTGGCTCAGAGCGGACCCCCAGAAGCAGGCACTGAGCTGGAGCGGTGTGCACAGGAGGCTTGTTAGGGCGCACTCTGGCTCCAGGCGTGGGCTCTCCCTCTTTGGGAGAAGGAGGGAGGTGGGGGCCAGAGGGGAAGCTGTGCTGGGCTGCAGTGCCAACAAAAGCCTCAGCTGACCCCGCAGAGCCCCCTCAGAGCAAACAGCCTTTCAGAGTTGTCCCAGCTCCAAGCAACAGGCTGTGGCGGGGGGGCCTTTGTACCCCGACACTGATCAGCTTTTGGGTAGCTGCCCCCGGGAAGGGGGGAGACTTTGGTCAAGCCAGCCATCAGAGTGGTTCCCACAGTCTCAGCTGAGAGCTGCTGCTGCCAGCACTGACCCCAGCCCTGAGGGGGATCTGGTGGCACTCAACGTCCATTAGGCTGCTAAGAGGCGGAGGAAGAAGGTTACAGACAGAGGGAACAGCAAATGCAAAATCCCTGAGGCAGAAATGAGCCAGCCCGACTGAGGCACAGACAGAAGGCCAGTGGGCACAGAGTCACGGACGGTCAGCAGTCAGAGAGGCAGGCAAAGGCCAGTCCAGAAGGGCCTGGGAATCCAGGGACTTTATTCTGAGTGTAAAGGGCTACCCTGGGAGGGCTTTAAGAAGAGTAATCTGACAATCACCTATTAACGCTACCCGGGCTGCTGGGGGAGGAGGAGGGGTGGCGGGATCAGAGAGCGACAGGGAGAGCAGTCGCCGGGCGGTGGGAGCGGTCCAGGTGAGAGCCCCTGGTGGTTTAACTAGGGTGGGGACAATCCCATCTTAGTAAGATAAGTGCGGGATGAAAGAGGACTGGGATGCTGTGGGGGCCCAGGGAGAGGGCTCCAGATGAATCTTGGCTGTCACGAGATGCTGTGGAGATGCTTCCGGCATCCCGCGGGGGATAGCAAACCAGACTGATTAGATTTTTCTCCACCCTTAAGATTCTGAAATTTTGTGGATTGGAGAAGAAACCTCAGAGAATCCTAGCTCCTCTCCCCAGCCTGGGCAGGAATCCAAAACTGGTGCCTAGTGACCATGCAGCCTTGGCTGTACCCCACAGGGCATGAGGAGCTCACCCCCCAAGGATCACTCTGCTGGAAAGTTCTGAGAGCTGCCCCCCTTGCAGCTGCCCCCAGCCCCCAGCCCCCAGCTCCCCGCCCCCCGCCCCCTTTGGGCCACACTAAACACGAGTCCCCAAAAAGTGAGGACATGGCTCCCGTCTCCACCCCCACCCCACATCTTCTTGTCCTGCGAGTTATCCTGAGGGTGATCTCAGACGGTGCCTCCTCCCTACCCCAAACTTGGTCCCTCACCAGCCCACCGACTCACTCCTGTGACGTGCGTCTGATTCCACAAAGGTTTGGAAAGAAGTCATTTTGTAGAATTTTTGAGAGGTACATTTTCTTCCAAGGCCTGATGTGTGTGGAGGCATAACCAGGCTGGGCGTTAGCAGAGCTGGGTTCTAGCTTGTCTATGTGACCTTGGACCAGTCGCTTCCCCTCTCTGGGCTTCATTTGCTCCTCTGTAAATGGGGCTGGCCAACTGGCTGGTGTTTAAATGCTGAACCAGAATATTGTGAGTCCGTGTATAGATTTGCCCCTGCTCATTCTTCAAAACCAGAACCAAGGGATCTTCTGTTTTCTTGTCCTCTGACTTCCAGACTTAAGGCTTAAAAGGCCTCAAAAAGTCTAATCAGCTTCCCCTGCTCCATGACACCCACTCTGCTGAACTTTGTTTCAACATCACCATCAGTTGATTGTCTACCTCCAGAGCTTGTATGCCTCCAGACATGGGGAGCTCACTACCTTATAAGACAGTTCTGTTAGAAAGTTCTTCAGCTAATGCAAAGATTCTATGATTCTATAGTAACATGATGACCCTTACTCTGTGTCACTGCTCACCCATTCACTCATTTGTTTTCATTCATTCGACAATATTTATTGGGCCTCCATCAAATGAAGCAGGGCAGTCACAGCCAAGTGACAGAACAAGATCATAACTGTAAAGGTCGTTCATGTTCTCTGAGCACTTCCTGTGGCCAGCACTGTGCATACACTGCACATACAGCATCTCATCCGGTCATCACAGATGGCTCCCAGTCTACGGATAAGAAAATTGAGAGTTAGGGAGAATGTGAGACCAGGTCCCAGTAGGAAATGGATGGCAGCTGAAGGGTTTCTTGCAGAGAGTTTAATAAAGGGACCATTTACAGAGGTGAGGGGAGGGTTCAGGAAAGCTACAGGGGATAGTGGGGTGCTCTGAGGTTAGCAACAGCGGGGAGCTGTTACCACCTACAGGTCTGAAGGGGGAGAGGCAGAAAGGTTGTCACTAGCACCAAGCGAAGCTGGGGCTGTGAAGAGGGGCTGCCCGATGGGAGATGTGGCTGTCGAGAACAGGGGTGGGAAGTGAAGAATTAATACCCTTTCCTTTGCTCCTGCTGGTACTTCCCATTGGTTGAATCCATAGGAAATTCGAAGGCAAGATTCCCCAGGTGATGTAATCCACAGATGTCAGCCTTCCGGGGCACACAAAGGGAAGAGAAAGATAAAGAACAGATCTTGGTGGGGGATGGGGAGGCATACATGCTGAGAGTGACCAGGCCAGAGAATTAGGTAATTTGTCTAAAGTCTTAAAGTGGGGGAGTGTGAAAGTCGGGGAGCCATAGAAATAAAGATATGATGATAAGTGTGCTGCATTCAAGTTTTAAAAGCATGAAGAAGCAAGTCGTGGGAGGGTTCGGAAGAGCCCAGGGGATAGGTAGGAGCTTCTGGGACAGAGAAAGGGGAAAGGACAAGCTGAAGCAGCCCAGGCAAAGGCTGCAGATGTGCAAGAACACCGCTGCTGGGCAGGAGTGAGCTGCTCTGTGGGGCTGGAGAGTGCTAGGAAGGTTCCAGAAATCTCTCGGGGGAGGCTGGAGACGGAGCTCAGAAGTGTTGCTATTGGATGAGATAAAGCCACTACTTATCCATTAATTTATTAAAAGTACATATTGATTGAGCATCTGCTCTTTGCCAGGTCTTATGCGAGGAGCTGGGATTACAACAATGAAAAGTGCCGTCATGGTCTTGACCTCATGGGGCTTATAGTCTAGTGGAGGATGGGTAGAAGCCAAACAGTGAACCAATTACAGCTGGGATCAGTGCTCTGAGGAAAAATCTGGTTTATCTCCTGTAAGCAGTGGGGAGATATTGATGAGCATTGATAGCGTAAACTTTTTAATTTTTTTAAATTGAGGTATAGCTCACAAACAGTAGATTTCCCAGATCTTAAGTGTACCTCTTGAAGAATTATAACCACCACTCAGATCAAGATTCAGAGCATTTCCAGAAGGCTCTCTCATGCCCCCTCCCAGCCGTACCCCTGTAGAGTAACCACTATTTTGATCTTTATCACCATAAATTCATATTGCCTGGTTTTGAACTCCATATATTTTTTAATTTTTATTTTTTTTAAAGATTGGCACCTGAGCTAACATCTGTTGTCAATCTTCTTTTTTTTTTTTCTTCTTCCTCTCCCCAAAGCCTCCAGTACATAGTTGTATTTTCTAGTTGTAGGTCCTTCTCGTTGTGCTATGTGGGACACCGCCTCAGCATGGCTTGATGAATGGTGCCATGTCCGCACCCAGGATCTGAACCAGCAAAACCCTGGGCCCCCGAAGCAGAGTGCAGGAACTTAACCACTCAGCCATGGGGCTGGCCCCCTGAACTCCATATATATGGAATGATATAGTATGTACTTGTTTGTGCCTAGCTTCTTTGCCCAACATTATGTCCAAGAGATTCGTCTGTGTTGCCTCATGTAGCAATTGCCTGTTCTTTCTCATGGCTATATAATATTCCACAACGTATGTGTGTGTGTGTGTATATATATATATATATATATATATATATATATACTATATTTTATTTATCCATTCTACTGTTAATGGACATTTGAGTTGTTTCCAATTTTTGGCTATCATAAAGCTTCTATGAACATTCTTGTGCATTTCTCTTGGTGGGCATACGCATACTCATTTCTGTTGGGTATATATTCGGGAGTGGAATTCTGGAGACATAGAATATATATACCTCAGCTTTAGTAAATACTGCCAGTTTTCCAAAGTATTGTATCAATTTATATTCCTACTAACAATGTATGGGAGTTCCAGTTGCTCCACTTCCTTGCAAACACTTGACAATGTGTCTTTTTCATTTTAGCCATTCTGGTAGGTGTATAATACTATCTCATTGTGGTTTAAATTTGCATTTCATTGATGGCTAATGATGTGAACACCCTTTCATATGCTTATTGAGAATTTGTGAAATGTCTGTTTAAGTCTCTTGCCTATTTTTAAGAAAATGGATTGTCTGGTTTTTTTCTTGATGTATAAGATTTCTTTAAATATTCTAAGTATGAGCCCCTTGTTGTATATATGTATTGCAAATATCTTCTCCCAGTCTGTGGCTTATCTTTTCACTCTCTTAGTGGTATCTTTTGATGAACAGAGTTTTTAACTTTAATAACATTCATTTTCTTTATCATTCAACCTTTCCCTTTATGGTTGATTTTTTTAGTGTGTATGTGACATGTTTGAAAAATCTTTGCCTCCCTCAAGGTCATAAGAGATTCTCCTATTCTCCTATTCTTCCAGAAGCTTTATTGTTTTATCTCTCACATTTGGGTCCCCGATCTATGTTGAATTAACAGCTGTGTACGGTGTGAGGTAGGAGTCAAGGTTTATTTCCCCCTCCCTTACCAAATTTCCAGCATCATTTTTTTTGTAAATACCCGTTTCCTTCCAATGAAGTTTAGTGGCTCTTTTCTGATAAATTGAGCAATCATATCTATATGAGTCTATTTCTGGGTTCTCTGTTCTGTATCATTGTCTACTTGTCCACTCTGTGCCAATACTATCTTATCTTAATTATTAAAATTTTCTAACGAGTTTTTATATGTAGTAGTGTAAGTCTTCAAGCTTTGTTCTTCTCCAACATTGCATTGTCTATTTGGTTTCTTTGCATTTTCCTATAAATTTTAGAACCAGGATGTTAACAAAAAAAAAAATCTGTTGTAATTTTCCTTGGAACTGCATTGAGTCTGTTAGGCCACTTTGAGAAGAATTAGCACCTTAACAATACTGAAGCGTCCAATCCATGAACATGGTATATCCCTCCATTTATTTAAGTCTCCTTTAACTGCCGGCAGCAATATTTAAAGTTTTCAGAGTAAGGGTGTTGCACATATTTCATTGCAATTCTTCCTAGGTTTTTGATGTTTTTTGATGCTATTACAAATGGTATTATTTTCAAGTTTCATTTTCCAATTGTTTGTTGCTAGTATATAAAAATGTAATTATTTTTGTATATTGTCCTCATATCTAGCAACCTTGCTAGATTAATTCTAATACTTCATTTATATATATTTTTGTAATTCTTATGTGCACAATCATGTCATCAGAAAATGACAGGTTTACTTATTTTTCAATCTTTATGCCTTTTATCACTTTTTCTTGCCTTATTACCCTTGCTAAGACCACTAGTATTATGGTTGAACAAAAATGGTGTGATAAGACATTCTTGGGGCTGGCCCGGTGACACAGGAGTTAAGTTCACACATTCCACTTCTCGGCGGCCCAGGGTTCCACAGTTCGGATCCCGGGTGTGGACGTGGAATCACTTGGCAAAAAGCCATGCTGTGGTAGGCATCCCACGTATAAAGTAGAGGAAGATGGGCATGGATGTTAGCTCAGGGCCAGTCTTCCTCAGCAAAAAGAGGATTGGCAGTAGTTAGCTCAGGGCTAATCTCAAAAAAAAAAAAAAAAAAAAGACATTCTTGCCTTGTTCTTGACATCAAGGAGAAAGTGTTCAATACTTCACATTAAATATGGTGTTAGCTATAGGATTTTTATGGATATCCTTTCTCAGATTAAATAAGTTCCCTTCTATTCCTAGTTTGCTGAGAGTTTTATTACGATCTGAATCTTTGAATTTTGTCAAGTGCCCTTTATCTATTTTAATGATCATATTTCTCTTTTGTTCTGTGAATGTGATAAGTTATATTGATCTATTCTAAGATATTAAACTAAACTTGCATTTCTGGAATAAGCCCCAGTATAGCATTGTATAGTATGGATCAGAATGAGCGAGACTGGAGGCAGAGAAACCAGTGAGAAGGCTGGTGCAAAGGTCCTGGTGAGAGAAGGGCCTGGGCTAGGGCAGAGACTGTTGTGAATGAAGAAGATTCTCTGAGAGGGTGAAGTGGGCAAGACTTAGTGACGAGTGAGATTTGACGCCCACAGAGAACAAGGGCTTTTTGGTCTGGGTGTCTAAGTGGATGGTAGTGGTGCCATTCTCCAGGAAGGGAACTATAAGTCTGGGCTCACAGTGAGCGAAGAGTTCTCTTTTAGAGGCATTGCATGTATCCAGTGCAGCTGTCCAGGAGACAGGTGGCTATCAGGACTGGAGCCTTAGAGATGATAGAAGCCTTGAGAACAGAGGGCATGGCCTGGGGACAGAGTGCAGACTGATGAGTGGAGGGGCCCAGGACAGGCCCTCGGAAGGCCCTCAGTTGAGATAGGTTGAAGATGAGGAGCCAGGGAAGAAGATGGAGAGAAGACCAGCCAGAGGACGAAGGGAATCCAGGAGTCCAGGATATCAGGAGGCCACAGAAGGCCACATTTAAGGAGGGAGAGGTCAGTTGTGCCCAACAAGAGGCTGAGTGATGAAAGAGCCCAGCTGGATTTACCTCCAGGTCCCCCTGGGGCAGAGGCAGAGGCAGGGCTGAGAGGTCAGAGAGAAGAGCTGGCTTCTCAGGTTGAAGCAGGATCAGAGATCCGGTCCTCACGTTTCATACATCAGAGACTGAGGCTCAGTGAGAGGAAGCATCTTGCTCAAGGCCTATTTCCCTCAATCCCAGGCTCAAGCTTTTTCAGCGTCACTTCCAATAAAAACAGCTAACACTTGCAAAGTGTTTACTAAATGCCAGGCACTGTTCCAAAGATTTATAATGTTAACTAATTTAATCCTTAAAACATGAGATAGGTACACTTATTTCCCATTTTATAGATGAGGAAACTGAGGCACAGAGCATGGACAAAGTCCGTGTTCTTAACCATTTCTCTAGAATCCCTCTTTCAAACTTTAAAAACTATCCCCCTTGGATCTGAAAATAAGGATCCTATCCCCAGCCTCATGGTTTTGGAGTCTGTCTCCATGATCCCCTCGGCCTCCAGTGATGCCCAGGCATTGCCACTGCTCTGCAATGTCCTTCTCTGGCTCCGCGTTGCCTCCATCCTAACCCCTAACCTGGCTCGTACCCTCCGTGATCTGGCCCAGCTCCACCTCGTCACCACAGCGTCTCCCCTCCCTCTGCACTTCAGTCAGGGCTTTTCGTTGCCAGCACCAGAATCCACTCAGGCCTGTGAAAGCAGAAATGAGGTGTGTCGCAGGTTGTTAGGTAGTTCAGAGAATCATCAGGAGGGTGAGAGGAGCAGACTCAATAATAAACATCACTTCTGGGAACAAGCTGCAGAAATGACCATCTGAGAACCCGCTGTTGCTGCCACCGCCAGAACCAAACACCAGCCGCTAGGACCGCAGCCTCAATGCCTACTGCTCGCACTAGGCCACGAGCACCAACGCTGCATCTATGTCAGGGCCTCAGCCTTGCAAACTGTGCTGCCCCTCGCCCCAGGTGCAGCCGCACCACCTGCCCCAGCAAAGTGCTGTGTCTGTGGGGGCCTGTTTTCTCCTGTTGCTCTCTCCTGAATCAAAGTCCTGGACGAGGCGTCTGATGGGCAGAGCCTAAGTCACACGTCTGCCTCCTGCGTGCCAGGGAAGCTGGGAATTGGCGTTCCATCTTCTACCTTGGGAAAGTGGGACTCATTAGGGAGAATCACCCCAAATACAGAATGGCGATTCAGAAGATGGACGGCCATGAATATGACAAAGGTCCTCAACATACATCCTGTCCCTTCAGCTGAGAATGTCCTTTCCTTTACCCAGTGAGCTACAGAACTCATTTTTTAAGACATCCTCACATGTCACCTCTTCCAGGAAGCCTTCCTTGACCCCCACCCCATCCACCCCTGCCTGGCTTGAGTTAGGCACCACCCCAGTGCCCCATAGACCACATAGCACTGATCACAACTTGCCAACGCTGTGCTTGGTCTCCACCACCCCCATGAGATTACACTTGCCTGAGGGCAGGAGCTGTCTCATTGAGCTCTTGCCACAGTCCTGATACCACTATAAGCTTAGTGAGCGTTTGTTGAATGAATAAATAGGTAAATGGATGAAGAGGGCCAAAGTCCTTACCTGGGCTTTGGCGGCCATAGGAACTCTTCCCAAGGAAACCGAGGCACAGAAGGTATGTAGTTGCAAGGGTGGCAGATGGCAAACAGAAGTGAGTAACGGAGAGCAGAGGCAACTGATATGTCAGACTGGATAAAACAAATAGGGTTGTGAACATGGTGTAAATGGGGCCGTCCCCTGGTCAGCTCTATCTGCCATAGACAGAAATATCTGGAAAGACCTGGGACTAGGGATAGAATTTTGGTTCCATCTGGAACCTGATAGGGTCACTGTGAGTTCCTGAGCCAGCAAAATGGAGCAGAAAGAAAAGAAGGCAGATAGACCAGATTTGAATCCCTTTTTTGCTACTGGTTCCCTCAGTGGCTTTGACAAGTGTTGTAACTTCCCTGTGCCTCTGTTCCTTCATCTGTAAATGGGGGTGCTAATGCCTTGCCCCTCCCGGGTGGCCGTGGGGAACACATCTGTAGGTTCGTGGAAGTGTCTGACATAGAGTCGGCCCTCAGAAAGTGGGTCCGTTCCTGCCCTGAGCGGGGAGCCATCTTTTCCTCCCCTCCCTCTGGTCTTCCCCACAGCCTCTTCTCCCACCCAGTTTGGTCCTCCTCTACTTACATGACACAGTGACTTTTTTGGTGCTTTTTAAATTGCTTACTTAATTCACAGAAACCAAAAAAGTAACTTAAGAAACGAACCCATCAGTGTGAAGTGATGTGGGCGTTAGTAGCTGGGCTGAGGGCTTAACGACATCGAGGCCCCCAGGGCCATCCATCCTGCACACACCCAGGGCCACAGGTGGGACGCGGCCCCTTCTGGTGGATCTCTGAAAAAGAGTGTCGCACGTCTGGTAAACGGACTGTTCTAGAACACTAGGGCAGGGTGGAGGCCACCTCTGTTGCCTGTTGAGCATCACTCCTCCTCTGTGGTGACAAAGCCCGCTCTTCCTTTCAGGCCCTGCTCGTGGTCCCAGTGAGCGGACCCAAGCTGCTTGGCTGATCAGAGCCTTCCATGGCTCAAGCACGGTGATTGGTCCTGCGGCAGCCACAATGAGAGGAAAATCTAGAATTCTTGGCAGAGTTACCAGGAGAGAAATACTGCATTTTCCTGGGGTTACCAAGTTAGTAGGACATAAGCCTGGAACCATCAGTGGCCATCTTTGAGGCTTTCTAGGGAGAGCCCGTCTGAGAACAAAGCCAGCACCAGAGAAAGTGGAGCCAAGAGTTAGAAACATCTGATGGTGGTGGTTGAGGCTCTGGACCCAGCCAAGCCTGAAGCCAGCACTACTCCTGGGCTTTTCAGCTACATGAACCAAAAGACTCTCTGTTTGCTTAAGCCACTTTGAGTTAGGTTTCTGTCAGATCCAGATTAAGTCGTTAGGTCTGAGAATCTTTTTCTTTGTCAAAAATCACATTAGGAAAAAGCAACTTAACAAACTGGTGATGGTGGGGTCACCACCGAGAGCTCCTGGGGGCTTATGGGACAGGGCTGGGCGGGGACTCACTTCCTCCAAATGTATCCAGTCTTATACCTTCTTAATTTTTCTTGCCATTAGAATGTATTTTCTGTTTAGAAAATCTAGTCATTTATATTCAAGCCATGCAACTTGTTATTTAAAGAATAATAGAAACAGTGTGCTCACTAACTAAACACATTTACTTATTTCCAAATTATATTATGTCATTTTAGAAAATTTGAAAAATACCAAAATATTATAAAGAAGTAAAATCCAAGCATCTGTAACCCCACGTGGTTGGCATTTGAAGATATCTCTTTTTGGTCTTTAATTACCTTTTGTGTTTTTGTCGTGCTATTGTTTCGTCTTATTTAATTCCTACAGTGACCCTGTGAGGTAAGTGCCACCGGGCCGTGTTACAGAGGATAAAACTGACCCTTAGAGAGGAAGACGACCTGCTCAAACTCAGAGCTGCTGGCTGATGGACACATCACACTCATCATATACACAAAAGTTGGGGAAAAATCGTCTCACACCATAGAAGTATTTTGTATTCTTATGTTTTTCACTTAAAATTATATCATAAACATTCCCCATGATACTGACTATTTCTTTAAAACATGATTGTTAATGGCTGTAAAATATTCTCTGATATGACTGAAGTGTTATTAATTTATCTAATCATACCCTATGGCTATTACAACTGTTTCGATGTTGCTTTCTTTTTCTTTTAAAGATTGGCGCCTGAGCTAACATCTGTTGCCAATCTTTTTTCTTCTTCTTCTTCTTCTTCTTTTCCTCCCCGAAGCCCCCCAGCACATAGTTGCATATTCTAGTTGCAGGTCCGTCTGGCTCTGCTATGAGGGACGCCGCCTCAGTGTGGCCTGATGAGCAGTGCCGTGTCCGCGCCCAGGATCGGAACTGGTGAAACCCTGGGCCGCCGAAGCAGAGCGCACAAACTTAACCAGTCCGCCACAGGGCGGACTCCTCAATGTTGCTTTCTTATCCCTTCTGCTGTGATAAACTCTCTAGTGTGTGAATGTCTGCCTCTCTGAGTATTTGTTCAGGGTTATCCACCCCCACAAGTGGACTTGCTGGGTCAAAGAACACGAACCCTCCCGGCACAGGCTGCCACTCATCCCTCCACGAGGGCTGGTCCCAGGTGGCACAGTGCCTGCAGCATCTGTGAGCATGCCCAGGCCCCGCGTCCTCACCAGCACTGGTCACTATTCCACTCACCTGCCACCCACCACCCTTGCCATAACATAATGAGGGTCCACATTTGCACTGACTCCTCTGCGTAGAATGTGAAATGTCTCAGAAGTGGACAGGACAGCAGGCTTCAGGATTTCCTGTCACTTTTGTCTTTGTCACTTGAAATTTGGGTATGTGTCCTCATTACAAGCCTTACTCATGAGTTGGAAATGGAAGACTCCTTGGTAAAGAAAATCCAGGGGCCGGCCCAGTGGCGCAGCGGTTAAGTTCGCACGTTCCACTTCGGCGGCCTGGGGTTCGCCGGTTCGGATCCCAGGTGTGGACATGGCACCACTTGGCAAGCCATGCTGTGGTTGGCATCCCACGTATAAAGTAGAGGAGGATGAACAAGGACGTTAGCTCAGGGCCAGTCTTCCTCAGCAAAAAGAGGAGGATTGGTGGCAGATGTTAGCTCAGGGCTAATCTTCCTCAAAAAAAAAAAAAAAAAGAAGAAGAAGAAAGAAAATCCAAACATGGTTGAAGAAGTGGAGAAGTAATTGGGACTGGAGAGGACCATGAAGAGAGCGAGTTGCTAGTGGAGTGTGTGCTCAGAGGCACGCACCTAATTAAGTTCCAGACAGAATCAAGATTTTAACATAAATGATGAAATCATAAAAGTGCTAGAGGAGGGGACAGCCCCGTGGCCGAGTGGTTAAGTTCATGCGCTCTGCTTTAGTGGCCCAGGGTTTCATTGACTTGGATCCTGGGCACGGACATGGCACCGCTCATCAGGCCATGTTGTGGCGGCGTCCCACATTACACAACTAGAAGGACCCACAACTAAAAATATACAACTGTGTACTGGGGGGATTTGGGAGAAAAAGCAAAAAGAAAAAGTGCTAGAGGAAAACGTTGATGAGTTATTTTGTAACCCAGGAATGGCCAAACACTTTTGGGTATGACATTAACCTAGAAGTTATTAGAGAAACGAATGATAAATTTGAGAAGATAAAAAATTTTAAATTTCCATATGGCAAAAACACTGTAAACAAAGTCAAAAGATAACTAATATTTACAAAATATATATAAAAACTATTGTAATTTATAAGCAAAAGTCTAATATTAAAATAAAAATAATTTTTATAAATTAATAGACATAAAAGTGCATAAAGGATATGAATAAGCTGATGCAGAAAAACAAATACAAATGGTCAATAAATACAGTAAAAAGATACACAACCTCACTTATAATTAAATTAGTTAATGCAAATTAATGCAAAGAGATATCAGATTATCTAGATTGTTAGTAGATACCAATGAGATATTAGAGTGTCAAGATGAAGAAGTTGCTAGAATGTTGACAAGGAGGAAAGCTAACTGGAACCTTCATACATGCTTAGCAGCTGTATAAATGGGCATAATAATTCTGGAGAGTAGCTTGTTCATCTCCGCTGTGCAATCCTATGAAGCTGCTAAAAAGAATGAGATGTGCCTTTATGCCATATGAAAAGATGTCTAGGATATATTATTAAGATAAAAAAGCAAGCTCCAGCATAGTATATATAACACGAATTCATTTGTTGGAACTACAAAAGGTATATACATGAATGTGTTTTGAGATACGTAGAAAATATTTGGAGGACACGCAAGAAGCTGCTAACCATGAGCTGTGAAGTCACCTGAGGGGGTTTAGCGGGGGGGAAAGGTCAATGGGGCTTTGACTCTGCACTTTTTCTGTGCCATTTGAACATTTTTTTTTCATCACACATAGATTTTATTTAAAATATATAAAACATGTATACACAAATATGTCTCAAATGAAATCCTCACTGGCTTCTTTTCCCATCAGATCACATACCAGCTTCCTGACCACCTCCCACCACCACCTTTCATGCGTCCCCAGACAGGCCATGTTGTTCACACCTCTTTGACTTTACAGTGTTGATTCTTTGTCACCTGTTCCCTGTTTCCCACCGTCTGCCCGGAAACTCTTCCTCATCCTTCAAGACCCACCCAGGCACTTCCTCCTCTGGGTGGTCTTTCCAGATTTCCCACAATAAAATAACCACTCACTGTGTTGTGATACATTGTGTATCCCTCCATCTTAGCTCTTATAATTTCCTATTAAACTTGGTATTTGTGTCTGTCAGCTTTGTTAGACTTGCAGCTCCTTTGAGGGCACAGGTACCCAATATCTAAGCTTAATTAATGCTCGTAGAATGAAAAACTGAGCAGGCCACTTGGTGTGTCTCTATTCCACCGACTTGTCTCTACTTGCCAAGACAGCTTCCCCTGCTGCCTTTTCTTCATGGTTCCCTAAAAGAGATACCTGGTCAGTGACCCTCAGTACTATCTCTACTGAGGAACACGGCCCAACATACATGCAAGCAAGCACACACACACACACATGCACACACACACTCGTATGTTTCAATTACAGTGTGATTCCATCTTGTGCCATAAGCTCATGAAGCCCCTCTACTCAGGGTCAAGACCTTGGTCTAAGCAGACCCACCCATAGATGCTAGCCCTTGAGGGCCCTCTTTTAGCCCAGGAGCACACCCACCCAAGGTTTTTGAGGAGACAGAGGTATGTCTTTGCTGTTCTCAAACAGCAGCATAGGTGATAAAGGCATGAGGAGACGGAACTCTCCCACTAATGGTCTAAGTGCTCCCTCAGATTCAGGGAGGACAACGGGAGGCCACAGCCTCAGAAGACCGGCCTCAGCCCTCCAGTTTTACCAAATGACCTTCCAAGAAATACCACAGGAAAATGTTTTGTTATTTGTACCACACAGTTTTTGAGTTTTCTCTCTGTGATGATATCCATTAGTGTTTTTGGTCTTAAGCAACAGAAACTGACTACGGCCCCAAAGGCATCCACTGGAAAGCTATGGTGTGGCCTGCAGAACTGAAAGAAAAGCTGGACCACCAGGCCTCAGAGAGCACATGGCGGGAGCAGTTCTAGAGATCCAGGCAGAGGAACCAGCAGCAGCCTTTTGAGGTCCATATCAGACATCTCTTGCGCCCTGCCTCACATCCTCTCGGGCTCCCCTCTACTGCCACTGTGGTCTTTTCTGTACAGGTTTTGACCCAATTTGCCCTGACAGTGCTTCATCTCAAAATGAGATGGGGCCTCTCACTTCCTGCCCCAAGCCTCTCTGATGCTGAGGTGCCTGTGGGAGCCCGCTGGGCACGCTTGCATGGGCAGCCCAGGGAGGCAGGGTCATCCGCCCTTCCCCAGTGGGTCAGGAGCCAGTGGACACTGGCCTCGCCCTTTGCCCCCAGGCAGACTGTGCTGACTCATGCTCTCCTCCTTAGAAGGCACTGGTGGGGTGGGGCATCCGACATGATAACCCTTGGGTGAGGTTTCTCTTCCCAGTCCTCTCTCCTGCTCCCTGGGATCACTTCCCAAATGCACTTTCTGCACATGAGCCCTTGCTCAGGCTCTAAATTCAGGCAGATGAGACTAAAGCAAAACTTCATCTCGGGGATGAATTGATTACTACATTGTGAGACAGGTCAAGGTTCAGATTCCAAGGAAAGCATTTAATTGCCCAGGCTTGGATCAGGGTCCACTCTCTGGCCAGACTGATGGCAGGCCCCGCAAGGCTCTGTCCAGTGGTGGACAAATAGTTCCCCAAAGCCAATCGAGATGGTCATCAGAAGAAAGGCCATAGGTGTCCTTCAGTAGGCTGCCCTGCGCTACTAGCATCTTGGGGCACCACGACCGTTCCATGTC